TTTAAATTAATTTAAAGTTTTTTATAGGCAGTCTCTTTTTTAAAACAGTAAAAGTTTTGGAGCCGCCCCGACTTTGTCAGCCTTGGCTGGATTTTTTGTTGCCGGCTTGAAGAACTTATCTTACATCGATCAGGGACTTTGCGATGTCCCTGAGGTAAACAAGATGTATTCTTCCTGTTCACCATCTCTTCAGGATGGTTTAGGTCTGATTGGACCACCCAACAGCAAAAGTATCAACTGCGGTCTCGGATCATCAAGACCGCATGTCCGTATCGTTGCGACGTTGGCTCTTCCTCTCCTTTTGCTAGTATAGTTTTGATGCCATGCAGAATCTCACCTTAGACAGTTGGCTTCCTCCACTATTTCCCCTAATATCTACCATACATCTCTTGAAGTGGCGTTGTTTAAACTATGTCTCTCTCCAATTATTTATCCTAGGAAAGTTTTGATCTTCTTGCTTGCTCTATTGATTTGGAAGCTGTTCTGACCCAGCTCTCCAAACACAATGAACCCTTTGTATTTAAATCAATGATTCCTTTATTAGCAGTGCCTGCAGCCCTGGCAAAAAGTTTCTCTCTCACCACAGGCTAATGAGTCTGTTTGGCAGGGAGATGAATAGTTGTCTGCCACATCTATTCATCTCCTCCCCCTGCCTTTTATCTCCAGAGCTAGGATGGGGCTTTTCTAGCAATGGTGGATCTTCCTTTCCAAAAACCAGCCCATAGATTTCCACTGCTCTCCTCTCCTCTGCCTTCTACACATCCACGTGGCAGGCACAGGACTCAGCTGTACCTCCTCTTCCTCATCAGCCACCTCCAGACCTTGGGGTTGTTGACTCCCAACCTCCTCCTCTGATTTGGCTGCTGGACAGGCACAACAGAAGCACAAGGCGGCCTATTTAGTTTAGTTTAGTTTAGTTTATTGTCATTGCACCTTGTATAACGAACTTATATGCGATCTTCAGGGTACAATCACTCAGCATTCCTTCAACGCTTCCGTTCTCCTTTTCTCTCTCTTTGTCTCCCAGGCATTGCTGGGTGTGTTTTGCCACCGAAGGCGATGACCGGTCGGCAGAGTGGGTCTGTCCTTGTCGTTGCAAAGGATCCACCAAGTGGATCCACCAGGCCTGCCTCCAGCGATGGCTGGATGAGAAGCAAAAGGGGAACAGTATCGGCAGCGTGAATTGTCCCCAGTGTGGAACTGAGTACTGCATCGTCTTCCCCAAAGTAGGTGAGTACAGAGCTGGCCCAACCACCGCCGGATAAATGAACCCATTTGGCTGCAGCGGATTCAAATGCTAAATAAACACTGTATTTCCTCCAAGAGTCCTAAAAACCAACCTGTTGTGGCCCACCAGTGACCAGTGGAGCTGGCAGCAGTCAGACAGTGAGGAGATTGGGGAGGAACCTGGGCCAATCCTGGAGTCTGGAGAAGGCTCTGACGAGGGCTCTGTGTTGGAGGCAGAGATGGGGCCAGGGACGTATGCCTGTTATCAGCTGCCTTCGGAGTCGGAGATCAGTGGGGCAGAAGAACAGCTGGAGCCTGTTCCCAGTGTGCGCATGCGCAGAGCTACCAGGAGAAGGGAACAGCTAAGGAACAAGGGCCGACCCAGCAGTAAAGGTACAGGTGGGTGGTGAATGGCCCCTCCCACTGGGAATAAAAAAGAGCAAATACGTCCATGTGGAACAGGCTCCAGCTGTTCTTCTGCCTCACTGATGTCTGACTCCGAAGGCAGTTGGTAACTGGCATAGGGCTCTGGCCCCATCTCTGCCTCAGACACAGAGCCCTCATCAGAGCCTTCCCCAGACTCCAGGACTGGCCCATCTTCCTCCCCATCCTCATCATGTCCAACTCTGCTGCCAGATCTGCTGGCCGCTGGTGGGCCACAATATGAAGCTCACAAGGAACTATTTCCTCTCCCTCCCATGCTCCACTGGTTCACAAAGCCAGAAAGGTTGGCAACCTCTATTCTACAGACTGGCCTCTAGTCAACAAGGACTTCTTCTGATGCTTGGTCATCTCTTTGCAGGACCCGTGGTCTATTTCCTGCAGCAAGTGGACCGGATTTTATCCAAAGTCAGCCCTTTTGCTGCTGCTGGCATTGTGGTCGGGACACTCTACTGGTCGGCAGTGACATATGGAGCTGTGACTGTGATGCAGGTAAGACTTGGCGTGCCCACAGGAGAGGCTGCCCTCCCATCAAAGCCCATCAGCAGAGACACCCCCCCCCAAATCCTTATGTTGGTCTGCAGAACACGATGGAAGCCAGAGCGTTAGTTGATAAAATGGCAGGGTAAAAAAAAAACTGTTGGAGAATTGGTATTCTCCATCACATTAATCTTCTGGATACCTTGTGGAGATCTTGATAATGCAGATAAGATCCCATTCAAACTTTAACTTTAAAACTTTAATGGTATTTGTATGCCGCCCACTCCCTAGGGACATTCAGAGGAAGGTAAGGGGCGATTTGGAGCCTTGAAGCTAAACCACAAACCACGTTTTAAGTTTTGCAAGGAAGTTTATGCTGGTAAATGAGGTTTGGGGGAATGAAGAAATACACTGTATATGCCACATTCTTTGTGGCTTCACTCCCAGGTCATCTTCTGACCTAAGCTTCCTGAGACAGTACAAAGCACACGCATAGTCCCCCAAACCCTCTTTTTGTTTCAACGGCTGTGAATTGTTTATTCATAGCCCGTAATGAGTCCCAAATAGTTTGTAAAGAGTCCGACAGAAGTCTGCCAAAGTCTTTCAGGATAAGGCTGATAAGCTTTCACCTTTATCTCTCTTGAAATGCTACCAAAGACCTAATTGGCAATTAGCTTTGCAAGGCCACACGGAGCAAAGAGTCCAAACAGAGCTTCAGAATATAAACCGACCAGAACAGACAAAGTTGCTTCCTGCAAAGGCTCACGTGCCTTTGCTCCTCCTTTATGTCTTCAGGGAGGGGCCAATCATCTCCAAGCCTTACTCCCAAGTTCTCCCTTCTGTCTTAACTGTTCTTGCCTTCTGGCAGCTCTGTGCATGAGCACACTGGGAACAGAGGGAGCCTATTCCTCGGCCTCACTGCTGTCTGACACCAGAGGCTCCGGAGGCAGCACATAACTCCCAGATGGCCCTGGCCCCCTCTCTGCCTCCGATGCAGAGCCCTCATCCAAGCCTCCCCAGATTCCAGGACTGGCCCTTGTTTCTCTCTAACCTTCTCACTGTCCTACTCTGTTGCCAGCTCTCTGCAGGCTACCTGCAGATCACAACAGATCACACATCTTGCCTCTGTCTGCCACATCCCTCCAGGCTCCACCCCTTACCTGTCAGATAACACCTTAGCCACATCTCCAAGTCAACTGGACTTTCTTGTTTTTTCTTTTGAAGACATTTCGCTTCTCATCCAAGAAGCTCTGATTGGGTGGTGGGGAATGGAAAGATTGATACTCCTTGCAGACAGCTTGTCATTTGCATCCTTTTAGTGGATCGTTGAGGCCATCTGGAGTTTTATTTGTGTCCTCAGGGTTACCTGAGTGGTTCCTGCAGTCTGCCATTTTTTCCTGTGGAATGGAAAAAGCACCTTTGGGACCCCAAGGCTAGTCCAACTCCTAATCCTCCACCCACCCACTTGCCTCTTGATCTCCACAGGTAGTTGGCCATAAGAAGGGCCTGGATGTGATGGAGCGAGCCGACCCCCTCTTCCTGCTCATGGGGCTGCCCACCATTCCGGTCATGCTAGTACTGGGCAAGATGATCCGTTGGGAAGACTACATCCTTCGGGTGTGGCGGAAATACTCTAGCAAGCTCCAGGTCCTGCATTCCTGGGTTCCAGGTTGGTATGTGGTTCCCCTTTTGAGACCTGGGCTCCTGCTTTGAGGGGATAAGGACAGGGAAGGTGGAGGGGGATGGAGCTGAATTTTTTGCAGGCTGAGAGAAATCTGAAAGTGTTTGTGTGTGAGAGAGAGGGAAAAAATAGTGTGCCAAAGATGGCAGCAGAATCCTCCTTGGCGGCGAGTTTGACTCATGAGAGCAGTGTTAACCTCGTCAACTTGAAGATGTGTGGACTTCAGCTCAGACTAACAGAGTTGGAAGGGATCTTGTAGGTCATCTAGTCCAAGCTTGCACTCAATCCCGACAAGACCGAGTGGCTATTGATGCTCCCTCCCAAAAATGGTCCAGCTATTCCATCCCTTAGCCGTGTGTGTGTGTGTGTGTGT